ACAATGAAAATCCGTTGTATTGTAAAATTCGTTATATCAAAATTCGTTGTAGAAAGAGTTGACTGTATATATATGCTCAATTATCCAGTTTTTAAAACTGTAAAGCTTATCTTTCTAAGCGAATGCGAAAGTCCAAGCTTTTTGAAAAAGGATACGAAAGAAAAGGAAAGAACTAGAAAATCGGTTGAGTAGCCGATATATTATGGCTCTCTCTCTAGGTCTCTTTTTGAGGAGGGGAAATTTTTACATTTTGGTATAGAATCCCCCATTTCACACTTTTCATTCCATTTTTCATAGTATTATACATAGAAATATCTATTTTAGAAATCTGTATGTTAAAGTAACTCTAAAGGGCATAAAAATTACAACAACTGACGGATAGGTTCTTCGAAACCAATAGATAATTCCCCTATTAAGGATGGCATTTTGGAGAAGAATTGTATATAGTTTATTAGCAAAGAGGTTGTTTCTGGGACAATTGGGACAGTAGAAACATAATAGGGACGGGACGAGACGATGAATGAATGAATTTTGGAAGGGAATTCACAATGCGTGCATTTATAGATAGTTAGTTATAAGGATCACTTTATTTATCTTAATAAAAGATCTATTCAAATAATAATTCAATCATTTTATAAAAAAAGCGCATAATCCTCGTATAACTAACCCTTTCAAGACGACCCCAGACAACCTATAAAGATTAAATTATATATAAATATGTAGTGGAATTATACTTTCGGTGATTTAGGAATTTATTTTCCCGAGATGAAAAATCTTCGGTTAATCAAAAAGACTAGATAGATCGTCATAATTTTATCTCTAACTTTTTCATAAACTTTTATTTCCTATTCTACCATCATTTTAAATAATAAAATCACTTAAATCGGTATAATGTTCGGTAGAAGTTGAACTAACAAAATTGAAAGGATTTAGATAAGATGAACCTCTCATACCAAAATTAAAATTTAAATGCATATATATACAAGTTCTCATTAAACACTATTATTATGAACCACATTGCAAAAACAATTTCAAGAAGCACAGTCATCCTTAGTTTAATAATTAATCTTGTCGCTTAAATTGAATGCCCACCAAAATCACAGAAACTTTCACAACGAACAGTTGGAAAAGTTGAGCCCTAATATCATGAATGTGCTGATCGGATTCGTTTTTTTAACTTCAGTAGAGAATTTCGCCAATGAATTCTTTTTGTTTATTTCTACCAAATTACGCTATCTTCGAGCTGATTTTTGATTTTTAACTAATACAATACATAGAGTGATTGGTCATAAATAGAAAATTCCGACGTAATGTTGAGAGAATAATAATAAATATAAATATAAACCTCAATTGCTCCAATTAATTATTTCGGTTTTTTATCGTTTCTCATCTATTTGTTTTTTAATTTCCAACATCTAAATAATTAGGAAAAATGTAAATAAGTATATATAAATATATATATATTAAAAAAATATGTATCATATATATAGTATGAATAAATACTGATTTGGTTTCATTGGCTTTAACACGAATAGAAAGAGCAACTTTGGCTTTCTGTTGAATTTCTTTGTAAGCTTTCTATCTCATTATTTAATTCTTCAATTCTCTTTCACTTTTTGCTAGAGAATTTTCGATTTAATCTTATCCATTTCCGCTCTTGGTTTGCCACTTAAGACTTGATAATTCGCTCATTTATTAAAACATGTTGATTTTTAACATGATCTATTTAGCATTTGAGCTCTAAGTTTATCACCCAATTTCCAAAATTTTATCTTGCAAAATCTTAATCCTCTCTTTAAAAAGTTGTCTTTTCAACTCGTGTTAGATGATCAATTTGTATTCGAAATTGTCCCATACGTCTATATAATCTATACTTGGATTATTTTTTTGCCTTATAGAAAAAAAAAATCATAAAAAAAAAGTAATTACTGTTAACCTTACCAAGAATTTATTAGTAAAATACATTTATATGCATACCGTAACTCGGCTACTAGTTTCCATCTCTAACTTCGATAGTTCAAACTCTAATTTAGGGAGTTCATCCTTTTCTCTTGAAGTTGCGATAGTAAAGATCTAAGGTTTTCATTAAATTTTTTCCACTGCACTTCAAAGAGGCTACAATCTTTTTTCCAATTTTTGCTACTGTCTCGGATGTCATGTCGGAAGAAAATGTTGAAATCATGGCATTTTTAAATATTTGTTACCTCCGCCACTCATAGTGCCCAGATTTGTCAATCAATTGACCACTTAAAGTTACTACGCGCCATCGAGTTTTACTAAATGCTTCTTGTAGATTTGGGCAACCAAAGTAACTTATAAAATGTTGGGATAAACCTGTCATCTTTCAGTGGTAGACAGTTCATTCAAAAGAATAATCATGGCGCAACCTAATCGTTTCTTCTAAGGTATTCTATATAAGTTTGTCCAACTTCAACAGAATCAACTACGATGTTATTCAATGCAGGACAGGCAGTTGAAATCGCGACATTCTTATTTATCATCAATGACACCAAGGTTACACAAACGATCCTAATTAAAAAAATTAAAATAAATACGATTTTCAGCAAGACAAATCGACGAACGCTCCGCTCCGACGAACTTACATATAATCCTTTGATACAACCACTATCATTGAGCTTTATCGAGCTGCTAAGAACTTGTCTTCTAAACTGAGGAGAAGAATTTTCGCCTCATCTGAGAATCGGCAAGACTAGACTTGAAGTGTTATTGCTGACTAAGATAATGCTAAGTAAAAAAGATGTTTATGAGAATCTTAAAATACTTAATATATTAATTTAAATGATAAATGCTAAATAATAACCTTTAAATCAGTGTCCAATTGTTGAATTTCTAGTTTCATGCCTTTGATTTTATTCTTTGTAGTAGAGATTTCTTGTTCCTAAATGAGAAGTTCAATTATAATTAAATGATCACAAAAAAGCAATTGATGCCTCATCATAATACCTTTTCCGACATGATTCTATAAGCGTGACAGCATCTTCTTCTGCTTCTATTCGAACTCGTTTTATTGAATCAACTCTCTTTTTAAAATATTATACTCAGATATTAGACATCAAAAACTGATTGTCTTGCATTGATTTTCTCTAACTGAGTAAGTTCTTTTTGCTTTTCTTCAATTTGGTTTGAATAAATTTCTGACTTGCCTTTATTTAAGATTAAATCCAGTTACAATATAAAAAAAGGTATCTACACAATTAGATTAAAATAATAGATTCACATACCCTTTAAACTTTCCCAAGTTCACTTTCTTGGGCCTCTAAAGATCTTCCCAAGCCCACCATTTCTTCCATTCGATCATTAAAACCCTGTTCATTAAATCGTAATGCTGTTTTCGCTTCTGACGATCTTATAATAAAAAACATATTTTATATCTCGAATATATTGTGCTTCAAAATAATATAAACAAATAAAACATACTATAGAAATTGCCTTTGTCATTTAGAAATAGCGTTTTCTTTCTCTCTTCCAGGTTAATATCTTCTTTCTCATAATTAGTCAACTCTGCTAGATTTCTTTTTCAAGTCGCTAAAATAAAAAATTAATGAAAGTTT